TGTAATAAAATTAATATACTATATTAAGTAGCTGAGCGAAAAAGATTAACTTCCATGCAATTAAAAAATAAGTTATCAGTACTCAATACCTAGGTGCGTTCACTGTGTATAATATCTACAAGAAAGCTACAAACACATATAGATCGCATAAGAACTATCTATCAATAGAGGCGAAATATGATGCTAACAATTTCCTGGTTGAAAAAAAAAACACAATAAAAAAAATTTTACTTAATACGATATATAAATTTTACATAATCATTTTACAGATTAGTACCATTTATCCATTTGATTTAATTTAATTTGCTTGATGAAAAAGAACTATATTTCTTTTCCTAGAAGGAAAAGAGTAATTAGATTTCAGTAACTCTTTATTCTCAAGAATCTCTTGCTCTATCCATCTACTGTCTGGTTTGAGGGTCTCTAAATATAGAGAGTTCACAAACAGAGGAAAACCAATTCTTTTTTTAAGCATTAAGCATAAATTGCTATCTCAATATATCTCTAAATGACAAAACAATAAAATATGAAACAATTACAAGTGATTATTATAGTGGTCGTGGTCGCCCAGCGTGTTATAGCGTAAACTTTGACATTCTCGAACCTAGCGACACCGGTTCGAATCCGGCCTGATCTGATGGAAATTTATTTGGTCACGGAAACATAATAGGTCTAATTGTACCTCTAAAACAATCACTACTCCACTCACCCCTTTGGTTTACCAGAAGTGGCGAAGTAGGAGTAATGGATAACAAAAGTGTTATTGTAGTTTTAATTTCTAATAAAGATATAAACTATATCTATAACTTTTTGTTCGATTTTGACACATTAGTTAGATACTTTCAAATACCATAATTAATCACTTTTTTCATTCTATATATGAGGTAGTCTTGCGGTCTAAGGCGCTTGCAATAGGTAATCAATGTTAAGCAACGCCGAGCGTGGTTGGGTGACCGTCTAACAAGCAAAGCTACGCTGCCTGATATTCCTCCCTTCCCCCGGGTATGTGAGGACCGTCAGCCTTTGAGGACCGTCGTACTGGAGGCAACTCACACCGACCGGGCGTAGGATTGATGACTCTCCTCCGTACCTTAAATCGGGAACCAGGATGTGATCTAGGAGACTCGCGGTCAATGATCTTCCTGGTCGGTAGCGCCAACTAAAAAAAAAAAAAGTATATATATATATATATATATATATATATATATATATATATATATATATATATATATATATATATATATATATACGTTTTATGACCTATTTCACTCAACTCTTTGTACTAATAATTCCACAAAATAAGAATTCAACGTTAAATGGAGTAGAATATCCCTTTTTTTCCCGTAAAATAATGATCTAAAAGTCGGAATATATACCGAAAGGTTGAAATTTTGTATATATTTTATTCAAATATCATATCAGGACCACACTCGCGGTCAATGATCTTCCTGGTCGGTAGCGCCAACTAAAAAGAAAAAATAATAAAATAAAATAAAGTATATATATATATATATATATATATATATATATATATATATATATATATATATATATATATATATATATATATATATATATATATACGTTTTATGACCTATTTCCCTCAACTCTTTGTACTAATAATTCCACAAAATAAGAATTCAACGTTAAATGGATTAGAATATCCCTTTTTCCGTAAAATAATGATCTAAAAGTCGGAATATATACCGAAAGGTTGAAATTTTGTATATATTTTATTCAAATATCATATCCGGAAAAGTGCGAATAAACGTATCCGTGATAAGTTAAAGGAAATACAACAGAATATCATTAAGGAATAACCTATTAAACTGGACTTGTGGGCAAAAAATAGGACCATAAGTAATTATCTCATGATATAATTATTTGTATATAATTCTTTTGCGTTTATAAACATTAATAATGGACTAGTTCTCTATTTGATTCGAAGCATTGATAAGATTTTACTTTTCGAAGCTTGGGTATTCTCAATGATGATACTTGATAAGTGATTTAACGGCCCAAATGTCATTACAAAACTTGAGGTAAATAGCCGGGAACTAAGTCCACGAACGACCTCCTAAGTTTGGTCCTTGCAGCGGTGATAGGATTTGGCAATGACCTGTTGCCTTTGTTTATTTTACAGTTTCATTCAATCATTCACAGAATAATTTCAAGATATATCTATTCTAAATCATTCAGGACTATACTAAAAATCACATTGAACATTTCAAAAGTTTTTTTTTTTTCTCTCCGAAATACTTCTGACTGTTTTGTACTTTGGAATACCAATCCATGCTCTGACCTCAACGTTTTGATGTCAGATTCCATTGCGTAAGGAGGTAAAAATATTCTAATATTAATTAAAATGTATTTTCTAACATATTTATTTCCTTAACAATCAAAATGTAGAAGATATTTTATCAACAATATATTTTTTTCTTGACCAAGTAAATCTCTTAGAACCACCCCTAGATTTTTTTTCTCGTTCAACACCAACGTTACAATCTTTTAATTTTATTTATTTAAACCCTACCCTGCCGGTAAGGCAATACAGGTGGTATGCAACATTGAGTAGCAGAGCATTCGTTACAACTCACTGCTGCATTCAGACCAATTACATTTTTTTTTCTTTTTTCTTTTTCAGCTGTGACACAGCCTGATCTTCTTTTCATCCGACATCTTCCACCCTCTCTGGTGGCCTTCAATATGCAGGTCGATTTCTTCTTTCCAATGAAATCCTTCCACCCGTATTTGACCGAAGGCCTTGTAGTACGGGTAGTTCACTTTTGTCATTAGTCCCGTCTCCCTCAACAACTTGGCCCTCAGTGCCTCAAAGGCGGTACAGACAAGCACTATATGCTCGGCGGTCTCCGGGACTCTGCAACTTGGGCATAAAGGATCAACGTTCTTACCATATTCAACGATCTTTGCTGGAAAACCCCCATGCCCCGTGAGGAACTGTGAGACCCAGTAGTCCGGGAGAACCCACGTCCATTCTAATCTAGAACTAACGGTGGGGAAGTATTTTCTCAGAGTAGCCCCTTTTGGCGTCGTCACCCACCGCTGGTTCCATTCCTTTAATGTGTTTTCCCGAAGAATGTTCTTCCATCTATTAGTGTCTTCACTGATCCCCACACGAAGATTCACAGGGAGATCCATCAGGCCTTTCCTCTTCATCTTTTGCCGAAAATATGAATTCTCGTAGAAGATGATCAATAGGGGTAGTCCCGGCTAAGACTTGTACCACCTCGTCAGACATTGACCGGTTCGCTCTAGTTACCCGCAACAGAGCCATTCGCTGGGTTATTGCCAATCTTTTCTTCTGTTGGTGCGAGAGACGATGACTCCACGCAGGGGATGCATACCCCAGGATGCCCACAATGACTCCTTTATAAATAGTCAATGTGACATGAGGCCCCAAAAGGACCCGATACGATTAAGTCCATTGAGAGCCAGAGATAATCTTTACCATACGGGTTGTTCTAGATTCATAACTAAGCTATTCTAACCTAAGTGAGAATGTCTTGGAAGGATTTCTTCCATGGATTCTCCCATTGCAACATTCCCTACATTCCAAAATCGAACCAGCGATGCAAGAATCAAGAATGATATAGCGAGCCAACGCTTTAACACGCTCGGCTACAAAGGTCACTTCTTTCTGCAAATCTGTCTATTGCTTTCCAGTTTTATGTATGAACCTTATGTTAAATGCTATACTGAAAATCTATAGAATATTTGTTAATTGCATCTAACTATTTGGCCTATGGCCTTACACACAGTATTTTATGCCATGTGTCCTACACAACCTTTATGCCACACATGGACTGCATATAAGTTTTTTGGCTTGATAGCTCATAGATATATGATTTTAAGAATCTCCAATTTAAGACTCCAAGAAATCCTGGCTGCCAATGTCAGTATGTTTATAGTTTATAGAGCCTGATTGTAAACGTTGTCTATGTGTTTATTCCAGTTTATATTTATTTTATAAAGTACGCCTAAATATTTTATTGTTTCGCGTTATTTATCATTGAAAACATTAATCTTTTGCTTAAATTTGGCATAGTCCGTTTTCGTGAAATTGGAGTGTTGGAAGCAATAATAAAATACCGAAGAATATGTTACATCTACATATTTTCTCTTTATATTTTAACCAGTAAATATATTCAAGTATTAGCTTAAGATAATTTGTTTCTTATTTCACTTCCAGCAGTTTATCTTATTTTTCTTGGGTTCAAATAAATTATCTTGACCAACACTTTAATCTACAATTAATGTCAGTAACTTGACCCATTTATGAAAGGCACAAACATTATTTTAAAATATGATTGGAAAGACAATTAAATCGCCCCAATTTTGTAATTTTTTATGACTTTAAGGATTTATATCTGGACCAAGAAAGCTCAGAGGACAAGGGTTCTGATTCTACTGTATTAAGTTATTTTTTATCCTTTTAAATTCCTTCTGATTTGACTCAAAGATCTAGAGCCGATTCTTGAGCACAAAAAGCCTGGCAGTTGAGTGTGACATCGTTGACTTGGGGTGGAGCATGGCGCATCTGGAAGAGTGCTCCATACAACTCTATTTGTATCTTTCCAGTCTGGCTCAGATTATTTTGTACAGATCTCCTCCATTCTTCTTATTGGTTCTTGGGGATTCCATTTTAGAGCTTATTTTTCGATGACACTATCTGCTCTCCTAAAGTGTGTCCTACCCATTCCCATTTCTTTTTCCTTAATTCTAGGTGGCTGTCTAGTGGTATTCCTGAGCTCTTCATTAGAGATTTTCTGAGGCCACCAGATTCCTTACAAGCAGTGGTTGATAAACGTTTTATCTCATTTCAACAGAAAAATTGTTAACTAACACTTTGTATCTTCTTACATTCTTACAAACATATCTGTATAATATGTTTATAAGACGTATAGAATGGCAATAGTAGATTTGATGTGAGACATTATCAGTCTGACGTCATATCACAATTGAAACTGATTAGCTTGTTCAGTTGACTGGTAGTCAGTGCTGCGATAAGTTGTCCATCTAATAATGACGTGTATATCATGTTAATGTTTATACTTGTCGTTAATGGAATAAAATGCCTTTACTTTAATTATTAGACACCTCAACCCCTCAACACTGGTTGGTGTCACAGAATTATGAATCGTCAAAAACATTATATATTTATTTATTTTTCTTACGAGATAATTATCTTATTTTAAAATGCTTTTTCCTGATTAACTAGTGAACATTTTATTTTATTTTTATTTTTAGCCCATCCATTTTGTAAAGTCGATTGGTTCAGCAATAACTGTTTTTATATTATCTTCAAAGAAGATAACGTTTATGTTAACTAATCTACATGTCATGCGTAAAATAAACACAACTTCAGAATATATTTCATATATATTTTTTTGAGATCTTGCATTAATTCAGAGATAAAGCTCTTTTTACATATATTTGGTTTGGGTAGTTTTATCTTTTTGATTGTATTTTCGACGACTCAATTTCCTCTTAAATGTAATTTGTTATCTTAATCAAACATCTTTTAACCTATTATTAAAACTTATTTTTATTTTTTTTTTAGCAAATTCGTGAAAACTAACTGTTAATGTAATACTGAGATATTTTAATTTGACATCAGTCAATAATAACGATACTACATCATAAGTTCATACAACAGAATTGTACAATTACACTAAAACAATAATTAAATAACCTGCTATTGCCTTTCTTCAGGTAACTTTTTCTAGGATACCATGATTTTTTGGTTTTGCTTTCTGGTCATTGTTGCTGTGGTAGAGTCATCAAGGATTCTTGCTTTCTTTCCGATACCGACACGTTCACACCAGTTCATCTTCCGGCCAGTGATAGAGGGGTTGGCGAAGAATGGCCATGATATTACCTATGTTTCAGCCTTTCCTTACAAGGAAATACCAAAGAACATTAGGCAAATAGATTTGTCCAAGTACGATGTCATGGCTGAATTCAGTAAGTATTTAAATGTTGATTAAAACAACTGAAAATACCTTTATTAATTCAAAGAAACTCTGAACAGAAATATTTCTTGCTTTTTTTTTTTCATAATATTTTCATTTTTTTAAATTAATATTACGCCTAGGTATGGTTCTATTAGACTTTACCATGCTATTGAACTTTTTAATAAGTAAATTTATCAAAATTAAGCATTTTTAATTTTATATAAAGTTACATGGTTCGTAGTAGTGCAGGTAGTAAATAGTTCTCCCGTTTCAACAATTTTCTGTCAAAAGCCTTTCGAATTTTGCCTTTCCATTTCTTATTCTTGGTCACTGTATTTTCACCGTTATTTCCGACAAAACGTGGTACCCATCTCAGTTGATGTCCCTTGATGATATCTTCATCTAGTCTCAACTCTACATTAGACATGATTGTTTTATTTTCGAAGTACAACATAGCCATAGCCTGTTATTGGTTTTTATTCACACCGAATAGGAGATATTCGGAAAGATGTTGTCTTGTAAATTGTTTGCGTTGTGTTTGTTGACACTTTTTTAATTTATGTTGTCAACTTTTTAAAAATAAATATTTTCTTGAATGAATTGAAATATCTGATTTCAGCTTTTATTTTTGATTTGTTTCACCATTTTACAGGGATATTTGTTCAGGCATTTGGATATTTATTTATTATTCCTTACTGCAACTTTGTGGTTGTTATATTAAAACTCGATCTCCCTGGTTGCATTTCCTTCACATGCTCGTGATATTTGTTTTCCTTGCATTTTTTATTTTATTATTATTGAAATTTACAACTGTATAATGATAAATACAACTAGTAACTTGTACTAGTAACTTGTCATAAATATGAAATAAGTAACTTGACATGTACACCATGAAGAGAAACTACCCATTGGTAGCACTCCAATTATATTTCTATAATAGAAGGTCCCGAGGTCATCTTCTTTTCAGACGCCTCGGAGGATTATCAGGAATAGAAGAGGAAGCAAGGTTGGAAACAAGAGGTTGGTCGGATGGTTTAGAAGTTTATTATGGAAGGATAGGAATCTGGATTGAGCTAAATCGGAAACATATGGCACATTAAGATCGTTACGGATGATTTTATTTGTCACAAAGTAGGGAGCATTGAGGATTTTACGAAGGATTTTGGATTGTATGAATTGGATACGAGAGGAATTTGATGGTTTAGTAGAGCCCCAAAGCTTGATCCCGTAAGTCCAAATAGGTCTTATTATAGTAACAGATATGAATCTTTTGTAAATAGTGGAAAGTTTAGAGTGTTTGTCTAGTAAGTGCAGCAGTAGTCGAAAACCTTGGGTGGTTTCTAGTTGTTTCAGTCTGGTAAGGGGGTTCCAAGTGAGTTCTAAGGAGGTTGGAGTCCTAAGTATCGGATTTGTTCAACAGGGATATTCTTTGCATTTACAGTCACTTTTATAGCCCCTAATTGTACTCGTAAAATGTATAGGTTACATTTTTTTTTTGTGAAAACGATTAAGTCGCCTGTAACAATGGCAAAGAGAGGGAGAGGTATTGTATGGTCTCACTCAAGATTGGAAAGTTTCATGGCTTGACCTTACCACATTTTCCTGCGTATTGTTAATTTTAGGATTGTTTTCTTAAATACTATATCGACCTTTTTCTTAATAAGGAATGGAGAAATGTCTGTCTTGCTAACCCTACAGCAACCCTTTGGAAGATCGACGAAACAAGTATGATGATTCAGTTTTAATTTAGTTGTGAATTTAACAAAAATATATTTGTAGCGATAGTAATATAAATTATTAATAAACTAATCAAGAGGCAGAATAAATTTAGGTTCTGAAAAAAAGCAAAATAAATTTTATGTTATTATTGGAAAAATTCCAAACCACACAGCCTTATGTCCGAAATGCCGACAAAGAAAAAGAAAACCCTTCAAAGTTTCGCCAATTCAGGCATCAACAGAATAGAAGAGAACAGCAAATCGAATATCACTCGATGAAATCCAGTCGCATACTGGAAGGAATGTAAGGCAACATAGCTAAAGAAATTAAAATCAAACAGCTGGGGCAGTGAAATGAACGAATGATAAAAATTATACAATATTCAACCAAAAATCATAAATACGATAAAAATAATAAAAAAAAAATGAAATCATGGGGAAAAAAAGAATGAACATCCCGGATATGTTTAGGGAATGATGCTCGTTCGTTCGCATACTTTGTCTTCATCTGCGTAGTCATCCGTGGTCGATGATAACCTTCTTTCCATGTGCTTTTTTATGTATGTATAATTATTTTGATTTTATCTATTTTTTATCATTATTGTATATTTTCATTTTGTATTTTATTATTTATTTAATTTTATATTTTTTATTTTTCTGGATATTGTATAATTTTTATCAGTCGTACTTCTGTTTGATTTTAATCTCCCTCATCAGCTATTTGATTATGAGTTCCCTTGCTTTAGCTTCCTTCTGGTATGCGATTGGATGTCATGAGTCGATTGGAGTGATGTTCGATTTGCTGTTCTCTTCTGTACTGATGATGCCTGAATTATTGAAACATTGAATGGTTTTCTTTTTCTTTGCCTGCATTTTGGAGGATGTGTGGTTTGGGTTTTTTTTTTTTTTTTAATCATAACCTAACAATTATAGCAATATTTTATTAATGATATTTTTTTTCATAAAATTTTGTAACGGAATTTCCTATCTATTATATTCAAATTGTACGTAATTTAATGATATGTACGTCAACAACTAATTATTTTATCCAACTTTTACTTAATGGAGATTTTTGATATTCATGTTTTACAGAGGATGTAGATTTCGGATCACTGAACATATGGCTGTATACAAATACAATGTACAAATTAGGAGAGGCTATGGCTCGATATTATATAGGCAGCAAAGAAGTACAGGATTTGATTCACTCAGACGACAAGTTCGATGCGGTAATGTTTGAGTCTTACTTCTATCAGGAATATTTGTCGGCGCTTACGCATAAATTCAATGCTATTGGTATAGAAGTTATTTCACTAGGTAAATATTTTTTTTCCTATTATTTATTATTATTGAATATTATTATTTATACTGAGGACTTAGAAGGCAAACGCTTGATTTTTATTTTATTTATTTATTGTCTTAATATATTCTCCCATCAACCCAAACGTTTCATTATTATTATTATTATTTTATTTTTTTCATAGCCCCTTTCTACTTATTTTTGTCTTTAATAATTGGATTGTCTTAATAATACACCTTTTACTGCTTAAAAGCATTGTAAGGTTTCTTTTTAGATTTTTGTCGTTTATAAGTATTTCGTTCTCCATCTGTAATATAAAGGTGATGGGGCTCACCTCAGGCTTGAGTTGATCTTATCCTATTGAGCTTACAACTAAATTAAAACATCGATATCATGTGATTTGTTTTGGAATTTTGGCTGGTGACAAATTGTTAAAAAGAGGGTTTGCCAACTGTTGGGATTTTTCGAAAAATGATTTTTTTCGTTTTGCGAAAAATTCTTTAATTGTTGATAAGGTTAGTGTTGTTTGTATATCCACTGTCTTCTTCCTCTGCAGCGTAGTTCCTCTAACAATTGTTCTAATTATTCCATTTTGGAAATATTGTAATCTTTTCAGAGTTGTTTTGCTGATGTGTTCGAACAGAGGTACACCATACAACAGAGCCGGCCGTATTATACTTGTATAGATTAGAAGCTTTAGGCCTAAAGATAGGTTTGTTGTCCGAATTAAATTTTGGAGTCTGTATGTCTTAGATCTCACTGTTTTAATTTTTTTGTCAAAATGTCTATTAAATTTTAAATGTCTGTCGAAGTGAATACCGAGATATGTTAAGTCAGTCGATAATAATACTGGTGTTGTTAATTTTGAATCCCTTTGGCATTTTCTTTTTTCCTTTTTGGTATGAAAATATAATTCCTTTCGTCTTTTCCGGATTGACATCTATGTTTAGGATTTTTAGCTGTTCTGCAATTTTTTCACAAGCTGTTTCCGCCTGCTGCATAGCTTTTTTGGCATTCATACTGCTACTTGAGACAGCAATGTCATCAGCAAATGCTGTCACGGTAGCTATTTGGTGTTTAGTTCCCACTATTTCTGCAGTATATAATAGGAAAAGAACGGGAGATAAAGCAGCGCCTTGGGGTACCCCACAAGTGAGATCGACAGGGTTTGATTTCTCATTGCCAACTTTTACTGATAAGGTCCGACGGCTTAAAAATGGTTTTAACAATGAGTATAATTGTTCAGGACAATCTAACGTTTCATTAGCGTCATAATTATGATTATAACAATGGGGAATATATTATATACAATGAGAGGATAATGGTTTAATATTATACAAATTTTAAATAAATGAACAATTTTTATGGCTTTTATTTTATGAATTTATGTATATTTTGAATTTAATCTTCATCATCTGCAAGTATTCTAGTCATAGTGGATGGTATATTATAATTTGTTCAGGCGTCGAAGTAAAGTGTGCTAGTTGTTACAATGTGTTTCAGTGTAAGTGATGTGTTGCATGTTTCACAAAGTGGTGGTTCTAGGCATCTCATTAGATAACCGTGGGTTCAGGCTACTTGTTCTATTCTCAATCTGGTCAAGATTATTTTTATTCATCTACACTATCTCATGTATATAGGTATAACTGAGTTTTTATGTTTTTAATTTACTTACCTTTAGTTTAGTTTATTATTTATTGAATATGGTTATTGATTTTTATTTAGTTATTGTTTTACTTTTGTTAATTTTATGTTTTCTGAACTATGATATGAAAGTGATCATATCTCACTATAATATTGTCCACGTGACAGATTATTATATTTCTAAATAAATAAAAAAATTTTAAAAAATTAAACACTATCTGAAAGAGGTTGACAATGTCAGAATGTCTTTTTTAAATTTCATATAGCTTGTTTGTTGATTGATTCCGATTTATTTGCTAGTTCACTAAAAATGTTTGGAGCAACAACCCTAATCACCAGCGATGGTTAGATTTATAATTTTAGTCCTGTTAGGTGTCCTTCTTTGGGAGGCTACAGCACAATGAGAGGGTAGCCATGCAAGCACATTTACTGCATCTCCCAGAGGTAGTATTTATTTTTCTCAAAATAGCATTATTGGAGCTACGTCAAGTAGTGACCACATACTGAACTTCAAGAACACACAAAATAATAAATAAATAAAATACTCAAGAAAACAAGTGATTCATTACAACATCAAAATGACAAGAAGAAACATTTTGAATGAATAGTAACTTTTTTTTCTCAAATTCTAAGCCGAGGTAGATTACGGACTTAGCTCGAAGACTTTGAATTTTATTCAAAGTGATAAAATTGGAAGTTAAATTTTGGTATATGTTATTGTAACATATTTTTCTTCATATCTTTTAATTTATTATCGAGTGAGTTTTGTAAATGAAGGTTTGTGTATGTTTTTATAGTTTCTATCCTGTAGGAAAAAGTGTAAATGGGGTTGTGTAACTTGTATATGGGCCTGTGAATTAAAAAAAAAAGTAGAGAGGTCTAATCATTATAATTTAAAAATAGTAGGGATATATACAATTCCTGGAATAAGTCCACTGATGAGAAATGGATTAATGATGGATCAGTCTTGATTGTGATTATGAAAGATCAATTTGTAAGGCATGAGTGGATTAGATGTATGATTAGGCTTGGAATCGGAATTTAATTAGTTTCTGGACTAATCCATTAAGGCTAATGCCGTCGAAAGCTTTTTTCAATCTCCATTAAGATCATCATCTTGTCGTCGAATCCTAGTGACCATTTAGTCCTAGAACCAACTGGACTGCTTTAGAATGGTCTGCACTGAACCCATAATAGTTGTTAATGTATAATGTTTTATTTTTAATATTTAATGACATATTTTAAGATACGTTAGAAGTGACATTAAGCAGACTCATTTGCTTATCGTGTTCTTCTTCAGTCATTTTTTATTGTGATACTTTAGTATTTTTAAGAATTAGGAAAGTATGGAAATTTTTGTTAGAAAGAGAATCAATTTTTTGCTCCGATTTTAATTGATGGTAGAAGGTACCTTATCTTCTCTAGGTGCTTTACGTTTTTGTTGACGTTTAATAATAATGCTAGTGCCTTTCAGCAATTGTTGTTAAATCTATTGAATGAATTTTCAAGTTTACCACTATCTCAATAGCTCAAGGTTTGTACTGATCTACTGAAAGCCGATTTGGACTTGCGGTCCAAAATGTTAAAAGTCAAAACACCATACTGTACTTCAAAATATTATAATCAATACGATCGCTTTTAGTGTGATTGAGAACAACTTTGTAGTTATATAGAAGGAATCTTGGTTTTGATAACTATATTAGGGGAAGTTTATCAATATCAATATTCAAACCAAACACTTAACAGGACCCAAATCTCAGTTTGATTTGAGATTGAGAGATAAAAGAGTTCCGCAGGTCAGTATCTTTTTTTGCTAAAATCTTGTAGAGTCAGTCTTGGTCTTAGTATTGTTAAAATTAGGATTGGTCTATCTACTATCAGGCGATCGTGGTCTTGATTTTACTAAAATAACAAGTCGAAAACCGCTTTTGGAGAACACTACCAGACAAACGACGACGTTAACGTAGAAGCTGAAATTGGGTTCATCAAAAATTTTTGAAATTTATATGTTTATGAAGAGGTTTCATTGGATAACTTTTACCTCATGACTTCATGATATATTTCATTAAGCTGCATATACGATGGAGGTGATTCATTTTTACAGTTGTGAATCATTGATTCAAATAAAAACAGATTAGGAAAATAATGCTTTCCTTGTTTACCTCGTAACAAGTTTATAAATGAATGCAATTCACTAATTTAAAGTAACCAAAATATTTGGAATAATAAAAAAAGGTCACATACCCTGAAAAAGAAATTATTTTCAATAATCAACAATTTTAATAGACCAAGAAAAATAATGTTAATAACCGCTACAAATTTGATGTCACAAGTTACGTAGGATCTAAAAGAAAATCGAATAAAAAAACTTCATTCGTCTGTCCCTCGCGGTTCTGATTACTGAACCTTGAAATTCGGTACCACTGTTAACGGGCACCTGAGGAGGATCCTCGGAACTCGGCATTACCATCCGCCCTTTCCCTTCAAGATGGCGGTCGAAAAATCTTTATCGCAATAGACGATGAAACTTGTTTAAAGTATTCTATTCAAGGCTCTTTTAATTTATGTATAAAATAAACTTCAGAGAAAAGTTCTATCCTATCAGGATCTCTGACGAAAACCATGTACCATATAGACTGCAGGACCTAAATTAATGTTCCGATTTTGATAGAATTTGGCGAAAGCCTCCTATTTTGAAGCCGCTTTATTTTTATTTATTTTTTCCTCGGCCCATGACGTCGCTTGAAGTCTTATACTGCCCATCCTTTAAATTTATCTATTTAGCATACTACGCCTTAACGAAGCCGAACAAAATGTTACGAGGGGTCGTAAATTTGGATTTTAGAATAACTCAAAAAGTATACATTTTTTTATGGTTGTTATTAGTTATTTAAAAGTTAACGGAATACGGGATAGAGTCCGAAAGAACAAAAAAAAAATCATTGATACCGAACAATTTGGTGCAAAGATATTTTGCAAGGCTGATATCCTTTGTTTTTATTTTTGGAAAGTCTTACATAACCTGAAATTATTTAGTTGCCAGTGTTCCTTAGCGAATTTCTAATCATTAAAAAAAAACTAGTCCTGCATTAGGAATCTTATTTTATTTATTTTCCTCTATGTGAAGAAGAAAGTAGATATATATGACTGTAAATATGATATATAATGTTTATATATAACAAATTGTAGAGTAATAATCTCCGGGGGGGGGGTATTTTTATTATTGCTGTTGTAATTATTGTTTTGCTACAGATAAAAATATAAGATGATGAACTATATGTAATTAGTCCTCGACACAATTCTTCTTTTTTTTCTCAATTGTCAATAGGTGATTGTGCTTGGGTGAACGAGATGTCAGGTATACAAGACAATCCGGCATTCCAAATGGACTTTAAATCAGCCCTTTCCAGTGATATGACTTTTTGGCAGAAACTTTATAACGTCTATGTTACTGGTGTAACAACCTTAACCAGTTATTTCTACCTACATTATGCCTTGCAGCCAGTCATGGACAAATACTTTAATTACACTGGATGGGAGAGTCGGCCATCGATAGACTTACTTGCCAGAAACAGGAGTCTGATCTTAGTAAATTTCGATTACATGTTTGGATACCCGTATCCTGTTGCACCGCACCGTAAAGACATTGGTGGAATCAATATAAAACCAAACCAGCTTCTGCCAAAGGTAAGTTTCATTATTCTGTTACAATGAACCTTTGTAATGAACGTATTGAAAAATAAATAATGAACATCCGTAGAGGTTAAGTCCCCATATATATTGCTGAAGATTTGCCATATTTGTATAATTTTCATAATTATTAAATTTTATGATTAACAGGACTTACAAACTTTCATGGATGAGAGTAAGGATGGAGTTATTTACATGTCACTTGGATCTCATCTAGACCCATCTCAATTCAGAGATCAAATGAACGCTTTTCTGGAGGTATTTAGAGACTTGCCTCAAAAAGTAATGTTGAAATACGTACCAGAGAACAGTACTGATATACCACCTAACGTATTAGTATCCAATTGGTTTCCTCAACAGGATATTTTAGGTGGGTTTATCTTAGGATAGTAAATAAAGTAATCGTATAAAAATCTATATTCTTAGATTTGTAAATTTATTAAAACTCAGTATACCAAAGTAATCCCTTTTATCCAAAAATGTATATGAATATGTTTGTTTATTTTTTTACAATTTTAAATAATTAGATGTTATTGAGGGAACAAGTATAAGAAATAGATAAAAACAACAAAATAGATCAGAATATAATTAAGATTATATATACATAATAATTAGTGTTGCTCAAATGCGAGACCGAGACGAGTCTTGGTCTTGCAAACTCAGTCTTGGTCATGGTCTTGATCTTGCGCAAGAGTCTCGCAACAGTTCTGCAGTTACTTACTATAGAGGTATTACTATATTTTTTTAGATAGGAGAAATCTAACTAATTCCGAATGAAAAATTAGAGGAGTTAAATACGAAAGTATATTAGATATCCCAACTATTAATATGTAGTAAGTAAAATTGTCGAGTATTAGTAACTATTTTGTTTTAATTTTTATTTAAAAAATCATTTTTTTTTTACCAGTTCTGGTCTTGGTCTTGCAACAGTTAGGCGGCCTTGGTCTTGGTCTTGCAAAGTGCGAGACCAAGAACAATTTCGGACAACACTAATTATCATAAATAGATAACATATGTACCACCACAACCCATATAGGGTAGGGTATCGTGTTCAGTAGTTTGTATGGAAGTAATGTTTCAAGGTATGTTGTCTAGGTGTAATGCAAGGAGATGATTAGGCCGATATCGCGACAAAAGAATAAGTCAACATTATTTTAGCTAAGTAAATTGATTTGGTAAATGCTTAACAGAGCTGGAGTAACAATATTCATTTTCGGGGTCCACCGAAAAGAAATATATATAGTCAAAATCGGGCAGTTTGAGACCCACGTCTGGCAATCACGACCCATATTAAAAGAGGAATATCACATTGTATTTGATCCATAAAATTAGGTACTTAGTTTCTTGATTATATACAAAAGTATTATTAAGAGTTCATATTTTCGATTGGTGCCATTCTGTTTCTAACCCAGATGTTCCATGTTAATTTTTTTTTTCCATGAGTCATTACAATTTTTACATTTATAGATTTTATAAATGATAAACATTAAAATCTATGTGAACATTTCAACACTCAACAGCAATACATGGCTTCCCTAACAAACAACAAAACTTCATAACTGGCTTCATAAATCAGTACCTTCTGTAGTACTCATTTGCCAGTAGAGATAGTATATACCGAAATAATGTTATTTCAAATATATTGGGGTACCTTCTCAATCTTTGGACAATCAGATTTTCGAGCCATAAATAAAAAAAAAAATATCCTGAAAACGATCCACAGTTTTATTTTCTGGAACTTCTGAAAATGAAAATTCAAAATCATAGGTTGAATCTATGCTGGCTTATGTAATTAAGCTATATAATTTATTAACAAACAACCGAAGTCACTGTGGTAAATACATTTGGCTGTTGCAAGATTGAAACAGTTACTAATCTATCTATCTATCTATCTACGTGGCGCTACAACCCTGGGTGGGTCTTGGCCTCCTCAATGAGCCGCCGCCATTCGGCCCGATTTTGTACTGCCGCTCTCCAGCCTCTGATCCGTAGCAGGCTCCGTGCGTCCACTGCCACTTCATCAACCCATCGAAGCCTAGGCCTACCAGGCCGTCGCGTACCATGAAGGGCAGTGTCCACCACTTTTTTAGGAATTTCTTCCGCTTTCATCCTTGCGACACGTCCAGCCCAACTGAGCCTCCCCAGCTTAATAAACTTATCCATATCTCTGTAATGGTCATAAAGCTCTCGGTTCCTCCTAATCCTCCATCCAGCTCTATCTCTCATTGAGCCAACTATTCGACGTAAGATTTTTCTTTCGAAAATCAGAAGATTATTTTCGTCACTTCTTGAGATGATCTAGGATCGGGAACCATAGGTAAAAACCGGGCGTATAAGCGTCTTGTATATGGCCAGTTCAGTGCCTCTGGTAATGGATCTGCTGCCGAGAGTTTTCAGTAAGGCAAAATATGATCTATTTTCTACCACCAGCCTTTTCTTTATCTCAGCAGAGACTTCATTTATTGGAGTTACTAGAGATCCCAAATATGTAAACTCGTTCACCCTTTGTGAATGTATAAGGGCCAACACTCAGTTCCTCGTCGCCACCAGTCCCTGTATGCATGTATTTCGTTTTTTCCTCGTTTATGGCCAATCCCATGGCTGAAGCAGTGTCCATTAGTTTCTTAAAGGCCTTTACCAATACCGATCGTGTCTTGGCTACGATATCCAAATCGTCAGCGTATCCCAATATCTGTACAGTATGGGTGAATATCGTGTGGTCTGTCTGGATTCCTGAATCCCGTGCAAGATTGCACAACCTTCTCCAGTGCAAGATTGAAGAGAAGACACGCCAGTCCACCGCCCTGTCTTAATCTTTTGTTGGAGGGAAATGCTTCAGAGCAGTCAGATTGAATCATTACCTGACACTTTACATCTTTCATTGTTAACTTCACCAAACGTATCAGTTTGGATGGGATACCCATTTCTCCCAATGCCTCATACAGCTTACTTAATGCCTCATACTAATACAACTATTGCCAATCCGAAATTATGTGTTAATGTTTTTCAGTGATTTATAGTAATGACTATTTGCTTTAAATTTCATTGAGACATAGGAAAACTGTTCTGTCGTTAGTTTGGCAAGATTTATTTATTCATTTTTTTTTTATTTAAAATTTTTCGAGCTAATAATTTGTTCCTTTTTTAAATGTAAATGAACAGTTCAGATTACACATACATTGACATTTTGAACAGCCTTCCTGAACAGGACTGAAAAACTGTTCTGAAACTTTTAACTGTAACAAGTCTCAAATTTGAGACTTTTATTCGAAAGAATGACTATTAATATTCCAAGAATATTTCAAGTCTGCAAATTTTTACTTTTTTCATCAAGGAGTATATTAATAGTACTTAACTGAAACATATTAAAATTGGATTAAGTTATTCTGTCAACTGAAAGAGTTGTCTGACACTTAGTGATGTACTACACTAGTATAGAGTATAGTAACTAATACAAATATTTACTACAAAGTTATTTTTATGAAACACAATATTTGAAACTTTAAAATATAAGTAACTTTTATTTGTTTGTTATCTAGCTCATAAGAGCTGCGTTCTTTTTGTTACACACGGAGGTCTGTTAAGTCTATCAGAAGCTATTTACTATGGTGTACCGCAAGTCGGGATTCCAATTATGGCAGATCAAGGAAAGAATATGGTAATCATGGAGTCACATGGATTAGGAAGGATGCTGAAGTTGGATAATATAACCCGAGAGACTGTCTCTTGGACTATTCGTGAAGTCCTCTTGAACAGTAGGTAAGTCAGTATTATTATATTCTGTTTAATAACTGACGTTTCTGTTTACTTACTGTTTCCGCTGCTGCTGGGGGAAACTCGCCAGGCAAGTGGGTCCAATCGTGGTCCTATTTGACAACCTTTGACGGCTGCCTTGAGGTACCTACGTTTCATTAACATCTAATATCAATAGAATGGAAAACACAGGTTTAGAAAAAAGTAAAAAGTATTACATCGGGGCTGGACCATAACCCTTGTAACAGTAATAAAATGAATGTAAGGGTTCATATAATTGCTTAATATTATGGTATAATAAATCCAACAATCCAGGAAAATAAATTAATTTTCAATGTTTTTGTTGATTATCAAAATCATATCTCTTAAAGGAATAAATTATAACATTGATTGTTATCGTACACAGAAATTATGTATTGCCAATCTCAATGTGATACTTCATAACTAACAGATCCTAAATATTCTGTGAAATCAAAAAAACATTTAAAAAATACTTAAAGACTCATTTATAAGCAGTTAGTAGAAGAAACTAATAAGTATTGCTTGCAAATTTTCAATAAAATAGAACAAAAAAATAACTCAAAATTAAAACGTTTTGTAATTACTCGGTTTCACACTGACATGAGATCGACAATATATCATAAACAAATTATTTTCAAATACCTGTTATTTTTTTAAATCCCCCGCGCTATTCATATTCTAACATGGATTTAATACATACGGGTCAACTTCATCACTTTTTTGTTCTGCATATAAACTTTAATCCACATTCATGATGAATTCAGCAAATGTCCACATACTATTAGTTGATCGGTGCCAATAATTCATATATTAATTTGGTCAGTGAACAACCGAAAATATATCTAATATAGACAGAAATAAATAAACGGAAAATATTTCGAGAAGTGATTATTTATTTATTTTTTCTCGGTTGAATACAATGATTAGAAAAAAAAGGAACTAAGTCAAAAAGTCTGAATCATTGCTAAAATCGATTTTTCATATCAAACTGGATTTAAAAATCATTCAAATTAACCCTACCACTAGAACCTAATGTTACTGGGTTCACTTTTTTGTAAAGAAGTACTTTTTCAAACTTGTTAGAGAGCATCACGACAAACCTCCGGGTTTTCCGCCTTAATTCATTATTTAGTTAAGGATGTCTGCTTTATAGAGACTGGGTGTGCCCCAGGGAAGCTTTCTGGTCCCAGGATCAATCCATGGCTGATACAAGAGAATAAATAATTATACAACCGGAATATATCTCGAAAAAGTGAGCATATGTGCGCAGTTTCTTACTCATTATGCATTACTGAGCGACCTACTTCCTCATTAAATATATACAATCAAGGCTATAGAAATTGCATCACCCAGAAAATTTTCTGGAAGTAAATCTGCAAAATATTTTTCAACAAGCGCACCATTAAGCGCCAAAATGTTCGTTTGTTTTTTTTCTCCTTCAAGTATTTTTTTTTTCTCCATGGTGTCATTTTTTCCCTCCAATTATGATTACCATTGATTGGTGATAATATTTCCCTTGAAAGTTCCTGTACTTCATGTAATGGAACTATTTTAATAATTTTTGGCGAGGACAGTTTTGATAAAGGCTAGCTTTTATCCTGACATTAGTTAAAACTCAACTGAGAATGATTCAATATAGATGGATGATCAAGACATTCAAGTTAATCAGCGATATCAATATAAGAATAAAAACACATAGGTGATGCAATTTATATGCCCGCGACTGTAGAATACTTAATAAAACCTGAGTACTCGTATCTGCAAAAGCAAAAAATAACCGAAATTGTTTTCTTCTTATGTTAACCGTTGATTGATCACAATATGCAATACATATTTATTAATCAGAACCGTAAACAACATTTCATTTAGAGTTAGTTCAGATTTCAGTGACTTCTACAGAGTATCAAATCAAAGGACGGTTTCGATAATCCGAACAAGAAAGAACAAAAAGTTGAAATATACTGATAAGTGACGGAATAGAAATGACTCTGTTTCTCAGAACATATTAGTGGAATTGGTTAGAGTGGTTGTCAACGCCGCATACGCTTACATCTTTTTTTGTTTTTCTCACCATCCCTTTGTTAATGTTGATTTATAAATGTTTATTTATCTTTTCTTTGTAAATGTTTGAGAAACAATTGTCCCAGAAGTGTATTTAAGTTTATAGTACTAAAATATTGGGTATTATTCACGATGTTTATCGCCAGCCCGGCAGTAATCCCCAGTTTTGGAGATTAAGACATCAAAATACTACCCAGTCGTCAGTCTGAAGCTGTCTTTTGTTCGTTTTTGAAGTCTACCCCATCATTTTCACCCAGCTCCAGTTTTACTTCACCTCACCGAGCGCCATTTTCAAAGAGCAGCTGTTTGGCACATCGGCAGTTGTCGATCGAAATCGATAGGTTATCCTCAGGTTTTCCTCATCAAAGACTAAACATCGTAGAAGATAACCTCGTTGGAAGCAGAATCTCCAACTTGGCTCGTTTTTTTGTTTTTTTTATTGTCCACCGTCAGGAAAGACAGTAAATTATTTTAATTTTAAGTTTTTCTAGACGTTCAATTGTATTTTAGTTATTTTTTTTATTATTAATTTACATTTTAGAAGTTGATTTCTTTTTCTGCTTTATTAATAATTGTTAATTTGGTTTTATGTTCACTGAATATTATACTTTGTGTTTTTCATTTCATGTTTGTCATTTCAGTGAACTTCATACCACTCTTTATTTTGTTTTTCAACTTTTGTATATATCTCTTTTATTTAATATAACTGTGTACACGTTCAAAAGGGGATTTTTATTTTCCATTACTGATTTATTGAATATTTTTATTTTCTTTATTATTTGATGTGCATGCATTTTTTATGTTTTACAGGACTCATTTTTATTCACTATTTTTTTTCCCCCTTCTTTCCCTTAATTTTTAATTTTACTCGAATTTTCCCCACCTTTGAGGAAACTCACCAGGGAAGGGTTTGTGTTTTAATTTTGAAATACCCCGGTCCCAACAGTGGTCGTTTCGAAATCGTATTGTATTGTCTCTAAACAGTAAAATTAGGCGGTCACTAATTTTTTTTTTTTCCTAACCCTCAGAAATTTCTTGATTACAAAATACAATATATATATAAATGTATATATACATAAATTTACAATATCCTTTTATTGCCCAAGGACATTTTTAGGTAAGAGGGCTATGCACGCTGTATGAATTCTTTGTATCTGTGGCCAAAGGCCTTTTATTATACCACTGGGCGTGGAGGGACCTCCCTTAATTTATCATTTACATTATAGTTAGTGGGTGTGAACTACAGAGTCCAAACCCCTTCCCTCGGCGAGAACATATACCAAGGGGATTCTACCTTGCCACCTCCCAGGCCTGGGCGGCGGTACTATTTCCTCGAAAAGCGGGTTAGCACAGACCTTCCGCCCATCGAAAAATTTGATGTGCCTTCGGCCTATGAACTCAGGCACCGATGGGAGCTGAAGCTCCTCTCGGATCTTTACATTCTTTGCCCTTTGCAGGGTGGTACCTCTGACTATTCGCCGAAGGATGGAGTTTTGATAACACTGGAGTTTCTTGAGTGTGGACTTATACAGGTGGGTGGTCACTCAGAAGTTGAGAAAACTCTTTATATGTAGTATTCGTAACATGAATCACGAGAGTGTCCAATTACCGAAGATATATTAGCTAAAAGTCTTTCCTGATTATTTTTTTTTAAGACAGATGACAAAGCAGATTTTAATATAAGTTGACTTAATAATTTCAAAAGCAGGTATTAAAAACGTTTTTTATTACACTGGAAAATTTCTTTGCACCCGTTCTATTTTATATAATAGATAAATCATAGAAATGCCATGAAGCGTTTAAAACCTACTTGGAGTGAGCGAATGGTTGCAACGACGGCTACCGCATCCTGGTACTTCGAAGGAATTTGAGATATTTTCTCATCTTACGTTGTAAGATAATTTTCAGAAATATTTTTTAATTGCAATGCTTTTATATTTAACTGTGAATGCATGTATTTTCGTTACCTTATGCAATTTATACATCATTTTAAATTTAACCTTTGATAATCCGAACATTTTGATAATCTTATTCTACTTGTCCGGATCATTAGCTGATCCAGGATTTAATTTTTGGAGGAGGGTGCTTCAGTCAGTCCGAAAGTTTTTTTTTTCATAAAATAACGATAATTATTTTGGAAAAAAAAAAACTAACTACCTATATGAAATGGTGTTTAAGTGATTCTTAAAGTCCTGTTAAATGTTATTATAAGAACAATAATACTTTAAGATATAATTTTTTCCATAAAACATTGTTATATTTTGCCATTTTGGGGGGTGACTTTAGCCCCAAAGCCTCCCCGCATAGATCCGCCCGTGGTTCGGATTATGAAGACTATCCTTTTTCAAAATTTTCCCCAGAAATAAATATTTTTATCAATTCTTTATTCAGGAATTTAACAATCTATCACAACTAAGGGCAATAATAATTGTGATAGAAGAGTAGCTCATTCACACTATAAACAATAAAGAAACAACAAAATAATATTACTAAAAGTAAATGTATATAAACTAAAACAAAAAAAAACTAAACTAATTAACATGACTATTTAAATACACAGAAATATTAAATAAAGCTTCCTCAGAAATATTAAATGCAATTATTATTGAGTTATTTAATCAAAAAATGTTTACAGGTATAGAGAAAAAGCACTTCGAAGATCGAAGATTTTCAAAGACAGGAGACAGACTCCTGCAGAAGAAGCGGTTTACTGGGTCGAACACTCGCTCAAGTATCCATTCGCACTAACTCCAATGTCGACAACTCTCACTGCAATTGAATTCAATCTTATTGATGTAAAAATTTTCTTGACAACAGCTATATTATTGACGTCGTGTAGCATATACTTAGCTTTAAAATTTGCAAAAAAAATTGTCTGTAATACAAAAATTAAAAGCAAACAAAAAATTCATTGACCAAAAACAAACCAAGAAATGAAGTTTCTTTCCATCACCCTAAAACAAGATATTTATATTTAAAGCTAAATTAAGGCTTGAAAGTGCGATTGAATAATATTAAATTGTTGAAAAAAGGTAGTTTAATCAAATAAATATAATAAAAAAAATCTATTACTATAATATTCCTATGGAAGTATAATATAGAAACAGAAATGATGGTTTATTTATTTATTTTTGTTTTCGTTGCATATACCTTGTAGAACTATTGGCAATACCTTTTATTTACACTCTATTATAGAATTTTTTAAAAATTAATGTGTTATTTTAACAGCTATTTCACTGTCATTCAAGATTTCTTTTCAAGATTAACCAAAAGTGCCCCCTTATGTCAACGGTGATACACATTTTTAGGATTTTTTTCTAAAACGGATCTAACGAGTTTGATTAAACTCGGCATATCAGTTCACTTCGCATATTATTAAGTGGTTTTTAATATCAGATAGGTCTGATCCACATTGATGTCACTTTACAGGGTCCTAAAGTAAGATAAATTTGGTTTATTTTTAAAAATTAACTCATTCTAATTGACAGTAACTATAAAAAAAAGTGGCTAAATATGAGTTTTGAAAGTAAGTTACTTCAATGAAGGAGAATATAATAAAAATTCTTATCCAGATCAAAAATGAATCTTCCGAAATAATAGTCAGAAGGTATGCGTATAATATATCGTTGGAAAGTGGAGTATTACATAAAAAATGATGTCAAATAAATAAACTTGTACTAGGTAACGGAGAGTGACCAAAAAACATATAAATAATAAGTTCTCAAAACTAACATTATTTAACGTAAATCACATGTTTCCAAGCAAATTAGATGTCATTTTCTTATTAAATGTATACGTTAAACTTTTTTTTATAATGTTTAAAATCTATCTAATCAAAGCAATGGCATTGTTTAAAATAGTATTCTTTTGTATTTGTATATAAAAATATTTCATGGATAATGACATTTATACTATATCTAGTATAGTGTTTAAATAATTTGGTTTCTATCGTCCGTTTATTCCGATAAATGATCATGCAAACTTTTAGAAAATTAAATTAGTAAATAATTTAATGAATTTCCCCTTTGTGATATCCAGTAGTATCCACTTTCGATTAGCGGGAGAACTTTTTGACCTTTCTATGACACCCAATGCAAACTTCGTAATTCCATTTTAGTCAACCTTACAATGAAAAAAACAGTTTAATAATTAATATTCGTAAAATCCATAAGCAATCGTCGATATAATAAATAGGAATTTGGTTATTTTGATGGCATTAATGATTTGTTAACTGGAAGCTCTAAGATTTAGCTCGGTTAGAAATGCACGGCAAACATTTTGCAATAGCCCAACATTACCAGAAAATAATTTATATTCAAGTGGAGTGGTAAGTGAAAGCTATATGTTGAGCGCACCAGATTTTTTTTCGATTAGTAGGGAATTTCGGAAGTTGAAAGCTTTTTATTCTAATAAAAATTCTGAATTCATCGTAAGAATTTATGCAGCTTGTTTCTGGGTAAGTATGTAATATACATTAATTATAAAGGCTTCAAGGTGGAGATTTTAGCTAAGTTTCTTTAAAATCGTTACATCGGTTTTGGCACTGCAGTCTAAAACGAATTACGTTTTCCGGCGGTCATTTCGAAACGAAAGGCTGGATGATAATAGTAAATATAATAAACAGTAGAGTTAAGAAATATTTAAAAGAAATGAAGAAATTACACATTCATTAAGCAATAAAAGAGAAAGTTAATTAATAGGAAAACGAATGTCACGGATGAGATTTTTTATCTCAATATTTAAAAAAAAATAACTCCACAGCTATGTCAGATATCATGGCATAATCTATGCATCATTGGTACTTTGTTAGCTAATATACTAATTAGCTAATAATACCAATTATTGTAAATAAATGTGAATGTGTTTTTAATTTTTATTTAATGTCTCATGTTTGATTTATTCTGTTATTCTTTTTAAAGGTTTCTTTTGTTATAATTTTCTATTGTTTTTCTTTTATTGTATATATGGTATGATTGCGTTTCATACATTCTAAATACTCAATGCTCTTAATTGAGGCAAAATGTATTTTTTAACATGAAAATATTAGCGTCAGAAATGACGCTAAAACAATATTAGATTCAAGAATTTCCGCCTGTTTTATTTAACAATTTAACTAATCTCTAAGAATCAATAAATGTAATCAATCGCAAATATTAAATAAAAATTCATGATATTCAGCGAAGTATTTTTGAATTAAGTTTTATTTCTATAATTATTTATTTATTATTATTTCTATAATTATATCATTTTTACAATACAGACCTTCTTTAACAACCTTCGTTTGGAATAAAGGAAGTAAAATTTAAAAAAATGAAAAAAAAAAGTTGATTAATTTTCTTTGAAAATTAAATTATTTCATTAATATTTGTTCGTTAATAAAATGAATATGATGAACCATAAACGTTATTATAGCACTATAAATATGCCATTAGTGGTACTGATCGATGTGGCAGAGGCCATTAACCACATACGCCAATATCGCTTTTCCGCCGATCAAGTGCATTTTTTGCAAAATCGCTTCAAATATTTAAAAAAGTTATGAGTTTTTTAGAAAAAAAAATATATATCTTCCAGATGTTTTATTTCAGAGTGTTTTCTGTTATTGTTGGCCGTTTAATTACAAACGGCGCTTGATTTGCAATTTTTTTTTTATTTATCTATTTCATTTATTAAATTTAAGTATTTATTATTATCTTTATTTATATATTGAATTTTGTTATCCTTTTTTTTTTTTTCGTGCCAACCACCTAAACAGTATAAAAGTAGTGTTATTTAGTTGATCGTGTGCTAATGACATGGGGATTTTGCACGTAGCCATAGAGCTAACTAATCCAAACAAACAAACAAAATAGACTAATCTGTTTATAATGCGGAATTTTGGGAAGAATGCGGGGATTATATTATATCTAAAAACTCCTTGGGCGCCGATTTGAACTCTTGTGATATTCAGTGTATCCAGGTTGTTGTGTATACAGAACTACGTGTGTATTGCACAAACCTAAACCCCCTCTTTAATTATTTACTATGAATCAAAGAGTGATTCTTTCGGGAGTAAAGCTGTAGATTATTAGAGGAAATTAATTTTGCTAAAATTGACTTCATCTTGTTTGTATATTTTTAGAAAATCCCATTAACGGCTCAAAGGACTCAGTCAATGTATACTCAGCTAATGAATAAAGATCCTTTGGATTTTACTGACTTCAAGTCAAAAAGCATGCTTTCACCCAATATGAGAATATGTTCTGCCAAATCTTTATGAATTATATGGTGTACACCATGTTTTCTTTCTATGTGAACTTTTAATTTCTTATGGGTTTCATTGAAAATAATCGGTTCCTACCAATTCTTTGTTAATCTTACCATTTGGATTTTAATATAGGTCTGTATCCCAATTTTAAACAATATTCCAGATTAGCTGATGGTCTAATAATCCGAACTACCGAAGCCCTCTTACCGAATAAGTAGTTTTTTTTATTATTATTGATTATTAATACAGACTGCCACAGTGAAGGGTATTGGCACTAGGGCAATAGTATTCATTCACACAATATGGACATAAGAAAGGATAAAAGGATTTAAAGGATTTAAATAACCAAATTAAAAAAAAAAAAAAATATATATATATATATATATATATATATATATATATATATATATATATATATATATATATATATATATATAAAGATAAAGTAATATACAAAAAGTAAAATAACAGATTAAATCCAAATGATAATGAAACAAATAAAACACATTTACACCTATGAATCAGTAGTATTTTATTTTATACAATTCATTAAATATAGATGTAAGACAAAAAAAAAATCACGATATTTACAGTTAAATACTTCTATTCATGCTTTACTTTACAAACTAGATATTGTTTAATGTATACACGCTAATACTGGTACGATAAGTTCATTCTTTTTTATTTTTATTTTTTTTAACTCATTACTACTTTAAAGAAAATTTAATCATGTTTCAAATAAGTATCTGGAATGTTCAACGAAATGTTAAGAATAAAATTTGTTTGAGAACATAATGTAAACTGGACGAGCAAGAGAAACGTAGGTAGCTACACAAAAAAAAAAAAAAAAAAACATAAAACAAATAGTTACATTTAAAATTAGTGTTATTAACTAATAGTATTAAAAACTACTAAGTTCCAACTCATTATAGCTTTGTTTGGAGTTTAATAACATTTCAAAATACTGTTTATAAAGTTTACTATAAATATAATCATGCACTTATGATTTTTGCATATTCTCTTTTTTTATATTTTTTTCTTGCATATTTTTCTTCAATGTATTACATATATGAAAATTAACAGGGCTTGTGTAGAAGGCAGTAGGAAAGTTTAATCGAAATCATTTTGACGCTATTGCGTTGGAAAGACTTTTTTTTTTTTTTTACATAGGTCCGAAACCTTACAAAACATAGAACGAAGCACCATTGGCCACCCGATCGCGAGATAATTGTGATAAATGTAGGCAGACAGATAATCTGCTGAAAATTTAGGAACCCTGAAAGTTAAAAACACGCCCTAATCGTGGTAGAAAAATAAAAATTTATGAATATCAGAACTTAAGAAGTGATAGTTTGTAACTGTTATTCATATTTTAACGACAGTAATATCATAAAATTACTCGAAATAACAACAGTCAAGACAGTCAGTATCTGATAACGGGTCCCCAAAAATAAGTTTTCATGGCGCAAGTTGCACAATTAAAACGATTGATGGGGGCACATTCCGACGGAGTTATAAATTTTCGGATTGAAAAATCACTAACAGCTAAATAGGAAAGGGGAAAATATAGTAAATAATGTAGCAAGTGCATCATATAAGTTACGATTTTTCAAATTCCACTATTGCTTGCACTGTCTTTAAGATGAGGAAAGCAATAAAATATCTTGA